TTATCTAGTCTGCCATGCCATCCGTACTTTCAGTACCGCAGGAAAAGACTTATTACCTCAAGCTTTGTAAGCTTCTCGTCGAAGTGGGAAGGGCTGTACTTCAAGATGTCTTTGATGCAATTCACCCCCAAGCCAATCTACCAAGTGTCCTTTCAACTCCAAAAATCCGGAAAAAGATCCTCAAGCTTCAGAAAATGCGTTTTCTTTTCCAAGAACAAATAGACATTCTCTATCCGGCAAGCTCGGGAAGTGTCAGCTCAACCAACTTTGACATCTCCTTGCTTTTCATACTTTTAAGGAATATTTGCAACATAACAGCAAGTCCAAAGTCAGCCGTGTGGAAAAACCATCCATTGTCAACAGATATAAGCCAAGTAGCTGATATAGTTCGCATAAGGGAATGTCGTAATGATCTTTTCCATCGTACAAATCCGGCGTTAACCGAGGTGGATTTCGAGAAAAGATGGCTTGAAATAAAAGATGCTCTTATTAGACTTGGAGGTGGGACTAAGTACGAAGAAGATATTCAGAATATCAAGATTGGTTCTGTGGATCCCGAGATGGAACAACACTATCACGAGCTTCTCAGGTCAAGAGAAGAGGCAGAGAAGCAGCAGGCAGAGGATATTAACTATATAAAGACAAATGTCAAAGATATGAAGCAGAAGGTTGACGAACTGGAGCAGAGGCTTGAAGAATTTGGTACGTTTATCAAAATATGGTACTAAATTTGTTTCCTGTTCATAAATTCTAGTAATACAGAATAATAGGTTTAGTAGTCATAACATGAACATTAGACATTACTCATGTATCAAAACAAAACTATATTGTAAACATTCTCTTGGACATTTATTTATATCATAATATCTGAGTTTATACATATCTACTCTTTCAACTCTGACAAAATGTTCTCGTTATATGCCTGCGTGCACATCGATGAATTAAAGCAATCGCGTTTAAAAAAGATTTTCTATAAAAAAGACATTTTTGGGGGGACAATTATAATCTAATTATTGACACTAAAGCAATATACTCGGCTAAGGCTCAGTGATTTTCGGTGATTCACCTCGTCCACTTTACAGATAATCATTTTGCCATCGGGTCTCAAGCAAAAGCAAGAAAGGTATTATTGAAAGTGAACGAGACTCAATTTTTTTATTGTTAATTTCCATAGAATCGTCCGTTACGATCGCTATCAAAACTAAGTTCAAGCTTTTAGCTGCTGGGACGGTGATTATAGGCTGGACGGCAGGATGCACCTACTTCCTGAACCGCTTTAAGGATGATCCAGAAATAGTTATAGCCTTGGTTCAGCGTGCTATCATACCAGGCACACTCGCAATGGGGGCGACCGTGGTTGGCATATTACGTGGTTCAATTATAATAAAAGTCAAAGTTACTTCTCTAGCTGCGTTGGACTACTTATGGAAAAGGTTTGTATGATTTCATGTACATTCACCCCTGAGTGAAATGTTAGGGATCGATAAATCAACGATAAACCGTTACCCACTTCGATTTGCACAAATTAAAGCATCATTGTATGAAGAATATGCCATTACTTGCAATTGTAGCGAGAGTTCGGTTCCTTAAATCTGCAAACCCTCTTGATGTCCACATTCATTTTAACCAGTCCCCAGGCTATCACAACTCTCACACAGCTACACCTGGATACAACGGGGCCTTTTTTCGTAACTTATTGTTGTTTATGTTAGTTGCAWCGACGGAGGGGAAATGGAACAGAACCTTCATGAGGTCATAGTTACAGAAGAGCTGATACAACAGGCCCCCCCTGGTACGGATAGTGTTGGCATCTCCGTCACAATGTCAGAAGATGACTATCGACGTGCACGTGATACTTTGATGAGTGATTGCCGCAGTATCATCCCGAGCCATAGAAAAAGAGGCAAAAGTAAGACAGATGATGAATTACCCCGTAAGAGGATGCGAAGACATGAACAAACTCATTCATTATTGGAAGACAGAAGTAGAGTAGCCGACAAAGCCAGTCACTGGGATAAATCTGAGAATGGTTGCTATCCATCAGAGAAATTCCAGAGAAGAATTGAATTCCATGCTAATAAGATTCATAACAGCCAAATAAAAGGATTTGGGCACTACTTCCTAGGAAAAGCCCTTGACTCGCGAGTGGAATATGAATCAGTGGATCCCCAGATGACAAAACACAATCACGAGCTTGTCAGGTCAAAAGAGGAAGCAGAAAGAAAAGCAGTAGAAGAAATCCACAATTTAAAGATAGGCCAACAAGATCTGAAACCAAAACTTGACGAAATTGCTGAAAATCACGGTAAGTTTACTAGTGAAAGCGGCATAAATCTAAGTCTCTTCTCCTTCAAATATCATTATGATGAGTTGTACAACCGCAGTGTTAGTTTACTGTGTCCATGTAGTTCTGTAGTTTATGATCTAAGGAGGTACAAAGTTGACAGAAGGAGCCGGCGAAGTCTGTTCTTCTAAATAACTGTTCTTGTACGAATTTTCTTTTCCTGGGAATTACTAAGGGATTCTGAGCTACATTGTTGACAATCTCACAAGCAAATGTGGCATCCTTCCTTCTTTTAAATAATTTTGATGAGTGCAAACGTTTTCAAGGCCAAAAAAGACGTTTTAACGTTTTTATGCTCAAAAAAGGCTTATACTTGCTTTAGTTAGAGAATCTTTATTTTCCTGAAAAAAATTCTTAGAAATTCTTGCCTGGGAAGTTGTTTTTTCCTGATTTCTCGCTTTATAATCTTTAGACAAGCATCGAAAGCGATAACTCATTTCAATGCTAATCCTTAACTATTCAGCACCAAAATAATCTCATTTCGTATTAAACTCACGGGCCGCATTTTAAAAATACTAAATTTCTGGCCTTAAGATCGGTCACGTGACGATAATTGGTCAATAAGTGGTCAATATTGAAAAAAAAAAATTCAGAAATTTAAAGTTAAAAATTGCGTCAAAACATTATACAGTAGAAGAGAATCACATTGAGTTGTGCACGAAAATACTTTTAACAGCATAGCCTCTGTGAACGAAGCCTTAACATATTTCATTTCAATTCTTTCAGAATAGAATGCTGAGTACATTGCTTTTTTATTAATTTTCGTTCCAGGAATGAATTCTTTAGGCTTTTGATAGTATTAATATTAAGGTTTCAGTCTTAAAAAACTATAAATACAAGGAGAATTATACACTACAACGTTGTACTCGTGAGAGCAGAGTAGCATATCAACACGATTTCTAGAACCTGCAACAGCTTAAATTTGTTTATCTTATCTGTTAAACTTATCTAACATATAATGATTCACTAGAGATTTGTATCAAGTAGAACCCCGAGTTCACGCAGCTATTCATACACAAATCCGGTCCCTTCTTTTGGAAAATATGCCTAAAAAGCATGAGAGATTTGCAATTTTCTTGAAAAAAAAACGAGAAATCTTTAGATCAGTAAGAGATAAGGCCCAAATTGTTGAGACTCCCTCCTTATACGAATATCCCCTTCGAGGGCCAGATACTCAGGCTGTTCTCGACATTTGTGATAAAGTAGCTCAGGGAGCACACTACCTCGCTCCAGAATAAGCCAGTTATGTTAATTATAACTAATAGCTAATGACGTTTTGCTATTTGAAGTTTTTATCTCTTTTTTAGATTTAGACAAAATTAATGATGAAGATAGAAAGCAAATGATGCCAATGATATCTGCCAGACAAGAAGAAGGAACTGAGTACATGAGCTTAGGAAATGCCTATGCTTCACTGGGGGAATATCACAGGGCCATTGAATACCATGAACTGAGCCTGAGCATTGCTAAGGCGATCGGTGACAGACAACAAGAAGGAACTGAATACATGAACTTAGGAAATGCCTATGCTTCACAGGGGGAATATCNGGTTGCAGCGTAGATAGCTATTCCTTATTTTTCCGATTTGTCTTGAACAGGGTATGGATTTTTACTTTTTAGTGTCTTAAACAGGGTCAGGGATTTAGACCGCTGGCGGCACGTACCTATCCAAAACGTCCTTTAAACATGTCAATAAAAAACACTCTCTGATTCACGATTCAAATATATTGAACATAATAAATTTCATTCGGAATATTGTACTGCGTGGTAGACCGTAATGTCTGAGTTACAGTTACAAAATCTAAAGAAAATCTACTTGTACGAATTTAGCTTTGTAGACTTCTATGATGATAACTGCAGCACGGAACGTCTCGACTGAATATGTCGTTATATTTACAAGGATAGCATTAAATTCATTGTAAGGCTACGATATTTAGTTATTTCAGTCCTCTAAAGGATTTATACCATATTATTCTTCCTTTAATACTGATAAAAACAATCAAGAATTGGAATGTGCCAATGAAGCACAAAAGTATGCTTACATGCACATTTAGCCAGCGTTGCCAGGCGTTCCTAGCCGCTCAGGCCCAAACTCTCTCGGAACGGCTACGCGTACAAGAATAATATAGTTTTTATAGATTTTTTCATGTCAGCCTGAGCAGTAAGATTATATTTTTAGTTGAATAGCTTTACGTAACATAATTCAGTGAAGACACAAGGATCAGATAAACTACATATCTAGATAATGCCCTCCCTAGTTAGCGCCATCGTGTCTTCAGTCTTTTTGGTCATGACCATCATCATGCAAATAAACCGGTACCTTGGCCAATTATTATGTCTTTTTACTTCTGCTGGGCAGTGGGGGATTGATCAAGGAAAGACAAATGTCCACCATAAGTCAATTCACAAGTTTCCATATACAGCTTCAGTGGCCACGAACAAACCATTGAACCGAGGCGTCAAGGTACAGTGAACATAAAAGAAAAGATCTGTGCCGATCAGTGTTCCTTTACACCTCGCTGCAATTCTTTGTTTGTGGTCAGTGAACCAGAGTATAGTATGGAAAGTCGTGAATGTTTCGATAGAATTCCGGTAATTGGTAGAACTGATGGGCGTACTTCCGCGGTTTCAAGTATAATCCAACTTCTTCTTCTAGGTGCAAGCTTTGTCCTGTCTACAATGCCACCGGTATTATCAAAGAAATCTGCACCGACTCTACCAGAAGAAAAGATTTATTACCTCAAGCTTTTGAAACTTTGCGTCGAAGTGGGGATACCTGTACTTCAAGATGTCTTTGATGTAATTCATATGCCAACCAATCTACCAGGTGTCCTTTCAACTCCTAAAGTACAAAAGGAGCTCCGACAGCTTCAAAAGAAAAACGTGCTTCATCAATCCCAAATAGACATTCTAAATCTTGCAAGAAAAGGAAGTGTCACATCAGCTGCATTTGACATCTCCTTACTCATCGTACTACTGAGGAATTTTTGCAACATAACATCCAGTCCCACGGATGCCGTGTGGAATAGTGAGCCATCAACAGCAGATAAAAGTAAAGCAGCTGATATAGTTCGCATAAGGTTATGTCGCAATAATCTCTACCATCGCACCAATCTGGCGGTAACAGAAAGCGATTTCGAGAAAAAGTGGGATGAAATAAAACATGCTCTCATCAGACTTGGAGGTGGGACTAAGTACGAAGAAGATATTCAGAATATCAAGTTTGGATCAGTGGACCCCGAGATAGAAGAACACTATCACGACCTTCTCAGGTCAAGAGAAGAGACAGAACGAAAAACAGAAGAAACACTGGACAATTTGAAGACAGGGCAACAAAATTTGAAACAGAAACTTGACGAAGTTGGTGAAAAACTTGTTTATGGTATGCTTATGCAAAATAATAATTTTGATTTTTTTATTTAATTTAATTTTATTAGCTTTGCCCTGAAGCCTACACAAACTCATGGAAAATAAACTTCATTAATACATACAACTATGTACATACACTGGACCACAAACTACGTTATACACTAACAACTTAAAGATTGGGCAATTACTGCGGACCCTAAATGTAAATAGCAATTTGTACAATCACATACAACAATTAATGTCTTTCTTTTAAATTATTGAGTAAAACACACAAAAATATATTACTATTTTGCTGGCTATCGTTACAATGTGCTGCAACAGACGTTTTTGAATAATGTTCATCAATATACCTCAGTATGCTGCGTACAATTTTCATTTCTTACTAGAATTGACACCATGCTAAAGGCTTATTATATTTCACTATCATGTTCTATTTTTTATTTTTAATAATAGCTGAGATCATCATAAAAACCACGTTCAAGCTTTTTGCTGCTGGAACAGTGACGTTAGGCTGGGCGGCAGGATGTACATACTTCCTGAACCGCTATAAGGATGATCCAGAAATAGTTACAGGCTTGGTTCAGCGTGCTATCATACCAGGCACACTCGCATGGGGGGTGACCGTGGTTGGCATATTACGCGGTTCAATTATAATAAAAGTCAAAGTTACCTCTCTAGCTGCATTGGACTACTTATGGAAAAGGTATGATTTTGTATATGTGAACATAGCATCAAGTTTCAGATGAACTGGTACATGATCGTTAATATCATGCAACGTTGTTCTTTTGTTTGTCGCCAGGCTGGAGAAAACATTTTCATTTCATTTCTCCAAGATTGAAAACTATGACAAAAATGAATTTGTGTGAACTTAACCAGTGCTTATCATTGTCTTTATTTGATGAAGTATATTGAATTAAACAACTTGTTGAATCTCAAGGCTGTGCATTGTTTTTGATTAGCTCCGAAAAAATTGTTGGAATATGCGAAAAGATGTTATGCTATTGATTTGACAAATAAAGTATCATATAAATATCATGAAGTTAACATTTATTTTGTTTTATGTCGTTTCATATAAGTTATGGCGAAGGGGAAATGGAGGAAAATCTTCAGAAGGTCATAGTAACAGATGGACTGATACAACATGCCCCCCATGGTACGGATGGTGTTGAGATTTCTGTCACAATGTCAGAAGATGAATATCAAACTGCCCGTAACACCTTGCTAGGGGAATGTCCCGTTAACATCAAAAGCCATAACAGAGAGAGAAGTCTTGATTTATTCCAAAAGAAGATTATGCGAAAAAACAATGAAACTGAGCCATCCTCAACAGACACAAGACAAACAGCTCCGTCAGAAAAGGAGAAGACAGGACGTCAAGATCTGGATGAGATGGTGGAAGACCAAATGCCAAAAAAATGCGGTATAGTAAATTAAAATACAGCTTATTACCTAACCACCTGCGCAGGCAACAATTTATGTTAATTTCACAGTCTCCCTTAGTCACATGGTAGAAGACAGGAAGCCCAATAGTAGAAATAAGAGCGTAAAGGTACAGAGACGCCTGCGGAGAAGGCTACCTATCGCTGACGTTTTCAAGTATAACTTCGCAGACTATCCATATTCCATGCACAAAACCGGTCCCTTCTTTTGGTACTATGCTTAAAAAGCATGAGAGTTTTGCCATTTCTTGAAAAAAAGAGAAATCTTGAGACCAGCGAAGGATAAGGCCCAAAATCTTGAGATTCCCTTATCAGAATTATCCCCTTCGAGAGGGCCTGATATACTCAGGCTGTTCTCGACTGTGTGGTAGTACCACAGGGAGCACATGACCTCGCTCCAGAATAAGCCGCTTAATATAAAAAATAGATAACACCTAATAGAAGAGAATGATTATCTAGTGCTATTTTTCACCTTTGGCAAATCGATTTCCCGTCAGTTATGTCAAAATTGGAGGGAATATTTCTGTGTATTTTCGCTCTCCTGTGGAATTTTTGCTTGTGATTATTTTTTTCTAATATTGCAAATTTGTAAGATAAATGTATATGTATAAAGCAAAACATTTCGCCATGTTTCAACAAAAAGTTTGGCGCTTTTTACCTCGAAGATTGCGAAGCAATAGAAGAGTTATTGGAGGGGGACGAATCTGTCACTCACTCAATCACTCAGTCACTCTCTTTCCTGTAAACTTGAGCCTGCGTTACTTGTGCTCATAGAACTATTAATTCTCATTGTTTTCTAGTAATTTACTCATTAATTTACCGTTACCGCGTTCCCTGTTCTATATTTGATTGAATTTATTTTTTTTTTTCGCAAAGAAAGAATTTTTAAGATATGTCAGCTCCTTTGAGTCTCGAACCTCAGACCTCTGAATTAGAAATCGAAGGCACTACCACTTGGCGAAGCGTATGAATGTTACATAATTGCGGCTAGACATGTCTTTTAAGTGCAGGCGCTAGCCCCTGGTTGTCAAGAATCGAAGTTAAAAATAATAATAAGATTTTAACGACAAAAAACTGTATTAATAAATTACTATTAAATTTCATTTGTAAAGTAATTATAATTTGATTCATCTTATCGTTACGTATTCGTCTACACAATCAACCTTCGAGTCTTCGAGTTGTGTTGCCATTGGCGGCTTGATTTTTGTTTACTCGTGGACAATGGGTTTCCTGTGGTATCACACAGACGGAAGGAAGGAGGACGGAAGTAAACGTGCGTACGCGCGTTAAACCTGTGCCATATTCTAGCTAAGGTAGCTAAGGTACTCCGCTCGCACGGGCCTTTGATACACGCTGGAGCTCCTCTATAAATTATAACTAATATCTGATGACTTTTTTGAAGGTGGGACTAAGTACGAAGAAGATTTTCAGAATATCAAGGTTAGATCAGTGAACCCCAAGATGGAGCAACACTATGCCGAGATTTTCCGGTTAAGAGTAGAGAGAGAGAAATTGAAGTCTGGGCATGAAGATCTGAAACATGAACTTGAAGAAATTATTGAAAAACACGGTAGGGTTACCTTTTGTTTAAAATTTACTAGTGAAGCACAAATGAGACTCTTCTCCTTCAAATATCATGATGAGTTGTGCAACTGCAGTGATAGTCTACTGTGCCCATGTAGTTCTGTAGTTTTTAGACCTAAGGAGGCACAAAAGTTGACATGGAAGGGCTTTAATACTTTGACTTTCATATTTCTATTCACAGTGAACAGAATAACCAAGTTTAAGCTTTTCGCTGCTGGAACAGTGACGTTAGGCTGGGCGGCAGGATGTACATACTTCCTGCTCCGTTATAAGGATGATCCAGAAGAAGTAATAAACTTGGTTAGGCATGCTCTCATTCCAGGCACACTCGCAATGGGGATGACTGTGGCTGGCTTATTATGGCGGTGAATCTTTTGTTGAATAGTGCCATCCGCCAAGACCAACCATATACCAAAATCTGATAAATACTGTCTGATGAGTGCGTAAGCACGAAACTCAGAGTAACAGCAAATCTTGCCTCTTCGTTATTATATATATAATTGCAAAATTGTATAATTGAGTTAACTATAAATAGCACAGGCTTACCAAACTATCGAGAGGAGTCGGCTCCAGGCCTTCTATGGCGATTTTTGCATTATGACGTAACTTTACTACAACTACCAGAGAGCCTTGTGTATTTTCATTGTTATTCAGATTTTTAATCCCCTTGGAGATTAATAAAACAATTGGCACTAATTGCATTACAAAAGAAAGTTGGCAAAGCATTCTGGTAGTTGTAGTAAATGACGCCATAATGCATATCGCCTATTAGGCCATTTTCAACATCAATATTTTGGTTATTTTATGGGGTTATATTCTGTTTTTTTAGTTCAGAAATAAAATTTAATGCTTTCTGAATGTGGATTTGTGGTTCTTTTTGCCGTGCGATGCGTTTTTCATGGGTAAATGATCGCGAGCCCCGGTGAAGTAAATCCCCACAAGGCTGGCAACTCCAGGCCGCCGAACTCGCCAAAATCGCCAAGTCGACTCACTTAAACCTCAAAATCGGGTCGAAAAAATCGCACCAAGCTCTTGAAATTTTAGGGAATTAACCGCAGATAAACACTTCATTCCCTCCTGAAATATCAAAATCACAGCTAAAACAGAACAGAAATAAATCGGTCCCGAAGTTCAAACTTTTGCTTAATTCGTACCATGAGCTTTGCGAAGGTGCGGAGGACACAACTTTTCGAAACTTTACCATTCTATAAAAAGCAGAAACGTCTAAATCTCGCAGCCGGTTACATCACCAATTTTGCAAATAAATCTTATATATATGATATCAAAGAGGCAAGATTTTGCTGTAACTCCGAGTTTCGTGCTATGCACTCATCAGACAGTATCTAAATACGAGTTTCGTGCTACGCACTCATTAGACAGTATTTAAATACAGTATTTAGATACTGTCTGATGAGTGCATAGCACGAAACTCGGAGTTACAGAAAAATCTTGCCTCTTTGATACATCTCCTTTGATATCATATATATAACTAGCTCTACACTTTATGTGTATTGAGCACTCTTTAATGGGATCAGCCACTTCCTCATACGATTAAATAAATCTTAAGAATAAAAGAAATATAGTAAACTTACAGTCTCGCAAAAGAATATTGCCATTTTAAGTGTTTTTAAGCAGTTTTTGGAACCATCTACTTCCCGTAATATTAGATAAAAACTGTATAAGTGTGGTGGGTAGCGGCATATACCATCCCACCTGAGGGGTACTATAGTGGGTGGTGGCGTAAGGTACCCCACCCCCTAAAATGGGATCCCTACTTGGACAATTGTTTTGGGTCTGTCCCTAAAATAGATGGAATTTAAATAATAACTTTTTAGAAATAAATTTAAACAATAATAAAATGCTCGTGATGATTTATTGATCTCTTTTGATTATATCTTGATAGTTACCGATCATAAACGCATTTTACCTCTTTGCGCGCTCCAAGCATCACTAGAAAACTGATAAGATTATTTTCGTTTCAATGAGTTTATAGAACTTATTAGTTGAATGAACAGGGACAGTCAATTCCCTTAAGTCTTTTGAACTAATAGTTATTCATGTAAGTTCAGTTTGCAGTCGATGGCCTTTGGATAAAGGCCGAAATATACACACTACGTAGTAAAATGATAAATCTTCTTGTAATCCTTTTCGTAACTTATTAGTTGATTTTATTTAGTTTTACCTTTTTGCCAATATATGTGCCATGTCGCGTTTGGACACCGGAAGTTCAATCCACAACCTTCGATACTGAATCAATGACCTTTCTAGCTTTAGGCGGTCTTGTGTGGGCAAAGATTTCATATTAGAACAAGAAGAAACTTTGTTTATCAATAAAAAAGGCGACTTTGATTATTTTATAGGCGTCTTTTCCGTTGTAAAGTATTTATTTTCTTCTTTGGCCTGAGATGTCAATTTAAAAAATATTAAAAGTAATTAAAATATGAAAAGTATTAGTTATCATGATATCACTTAGCGACATTTAGTCTACCGCGTTTGATTTTATCAGTTAACGCAATGCATGTCACGGTGTGGTTTACATGATTTTTAAATTTTGCAGATTTTGAACTAGACTCTCTTATAGCGTGAAGTCGAGCTATTTTGGAAAATTGAGAAAAGTCGACAGATTAATTTTCTACTGGTTCATGAATATTTCTAGCGTTTTGACGTCGTTGCAGAACTAGTAAGAACTTTGAGTTCATGGACCGGCACGTTCCGAAAATTTCGCTGAACATCTTTTTAAAGAAGTGTGAGCCTACCACGAACGGCGTGTGAGAAGATAAATAATCCGTAAAATTTGTAAGTAAGATCAGCGTTCTAGGGTTAATTTTCGACGACGACGACGAAAAAGGTCCACTTGCATTTTAAGACGTGAGCTTCCACATAATTTTTTACCGAACTGAACTCTAAGTTACTTCTTTATTAAAGTATTCTGTCTTTCTCAGTTTTCCGAAATAGCTAGCCCGACTTTACGCTCTGAGAGCGTCTAGTTTATGCTAATACTAATTTCTAACAAAACACACACAAAAAAAATGAAAAAAACTAGTATAATTCCATATGACGAATACATATCGTGAATCATAACATTTCCGGTTGACCATTTTTAAAAAGTACTAGTCTATTGCCGAGAGCTTTCAATACTTTGAGTATATCCTCTACATATTTATATCAATGATGAATTAATTGAACAGTCCTCGTGTGAAAAATTACTTGGTATTTACATCGATTCTTCTCTAACGTGGAACGAGCAGATCAGCAAACTCGTTAAGAAATTCAACACCAAATTGGAACTCATCAGGCAGGCAAGACCATATATATCTCCCAGTAAACTACAACTCCTGTATAAGAGCATCGCACGACCAACCATGGAGTACTGTTGCTCTGTTTGGGGTACTGCTCGAAGGATTCTATGGATCGACTTTTGTTAGCCCAGAAACGAGGTGCAAGGCTTCTACTGAATGCCGACGCCATGTCTCCCTCCTTACCGCTCTTCCAAGATCTTCTTTTTCTCCCAATCTCTGATATTATAATATTCCGTATACTGATACTGATGCATCAATGTTTATATGGTTCAGCTCCGCCCTGTCTGGCCTCGCTGCCGACTAAACCAACGCACCGCTACGTTACACGGACAGTAGATGATCACAAGTTACTCCTCCCCAAAGCAAAAACAAACTCTGGCAAGCGGTCATTTTCCTTTCTTGGAAGTTCTTTATGGAATAAACTCCCTAGCCGCACCACAAAGTGTTCAACTCTTAAGTCCTTCAAAGCACATATCTGGGAACTTGCAAAAAACAAACTCTTTGCTTCTAAGGAACTTAAGACTCAAAGACTTTTTTAACATTTCTTTTACTTTTATATATTTACTACCCTATGGGCCAGATTGGAAAAAAGCTTCGCTTTATCTGTTTATCACCCAATAAAGTTTATTATTATT